CCATTAAAACCCTCCAACACAGTGGGATCATCAAGGGGTTGGAATGGCGTCTATGGCAACTGGTTTTGCTTTTGTGTTTAACTCTTATTCTGGAATGAACATCGCAATTACTTTTTTCTTGCTAGTTTTCCAGTGTGTCCTTTGGAGCGGTTTCTTCTGATCAACAAGAACACGTCAGCCAGCCACCCTTTCAACAGTCTGGCAAACGACAGTCAAGAGGGGATGACTAATGGCAGTTTCTCCACAGCATAACACTTAATCATGGCTAAGGAGATGCCCCCATCCCCATTCCCCCCCCCTCATTCATTGACTCACTTGCACTTCAAAGACATGTTTTTGTGCTCTATACACATTGCACATTGTCTTGAACTTCCAAGAGGAAGTGGAAAAGGCACTTTTGCTCACTAAATGGCATCCCCTTATCTGGAAATAACTGCTTAGCGAGCATACATCATTTACCTTACGTTCATCATACTACCTGGACATCTCCCGAGTTTTCTTTCTATGCAAGGAAAAAGAGCACTGGAATTCTTCACTTTACTGTAGGCCCACACTAGAGCTTTTCACGTTTTGTCAGTTAACCTTCCATCAGCCAATCTTTGAAGTGCATTTATTATCGCTGAAAACAATTTTGTGATCAACAAATGAGTATATTTTATACTTCATTGCAAATGTAAACTTTAGTGCTTTCAGAAATGTTAAAAATAATTAAACCTTTTCTCAATGCAATGCCAGAGCTTTTGTCCACTGCTTATTAACAAATTTTTAAATAAAATAACTCTGGTTCTGGGGAGGGAAGGTACAAAACAAAAATGTACAACCACCTACCTCACTTTGGAATCTTTTTATATCTGGGGGAGGGGCTTCAAACAATTTGTAGAAAAATGGGATTAAAATATAATGGAAATTTTCCATGAACTTTTTGAAGCTCTCTCATATGGTACACTTTTATTTCTTGGTCTTAACTTGCCCTGATTTTTAGATAAGGTTTTTTCCCCATTGGGCTGCAGTAAAGAACTGAATGAAAATAATTTTTTTGGGGGGGGTCTCTTGTCATTTTATTCACATCTAAGACTGGGGCTCAGGAGGGGAAGGGAGGGAACCAGGGACCTGGGGCTCAGGAGGGAGGGGCCCAAACAAACAGACCCTTACCTGGCTTTCAGGTACAGTTGCCCAGAAAAGTGAGCTCCTCCCTGCGCACAACTGGCCCCTCAGCAAGATGCCGAGGGTCCAAAGCAGCTGGAGGCAGGGCCACACTGCTCCCCGGGAGGGCAGCCAACTTCTGAGCCTTCAGAAGGCGATGGCCGCGGTCAGAGGAGCTGCCTGAGGACAGAGCTAAGGCAAGCACCTTTCTCCAACAAGAAAAGTGGTTGGGCAGGTGCCACGCAGATTGACAAGGCCAGACC